CATCTGATCTGCAGCCTATATGACTATGAGACCAAAAGAACTAGATGGTGCCTGGCTACCACTGTCATCCACTTGGAAGGGGATCTATGTAGGAGATCGTTGATACAGAGGGAGAACAATGTGGAACAAAACTCAAAATTATTTGGAGGAAAAAAACGGGGGACCAGGTTTGCTGGTCCAATAGAGCCTGGTGGAACCACTGAGACTATGGCCCTACCTGCTCTTTGGGTCTGGAATTGAACCCACACCTGTGGTTTCCAGCCAGGCAAAAGACAGGCATACGAGTTGAACATTTACTTGAAGTAGATACACTCCTTGGAGAGAACAATCATGGGAGAAAGAAGGGCTGCTTATGACAGGGAGACAGCTCAGGGGGCAGGAGTTCATGGAGGGATGGACATTGGGAAGAGGTAACTGTGGGGAGGAGGTGGGAGGGGAGCTGTTGCATTGGGGTAAACTCTGGTCAATGTCATGAGACAAAGTGTATGTGAACTACTATATGGAAAGTGAATTTGCTCTGTAAATATTTATCCAAATAATAATAATTCAAATATTTAAATCTTTGCTAGCCATTAAATTTACTTGTGAAAATAAGGCAAACACTATTTACTTACGGAAATAGTGTTATCTTCACTGTGATAGTTTATAGTCAGAACTTCCAACAGAAACAGAAAATATGTAGTAAAAGTTGAAGAGGAGGAAATTTATTGATTATCTAACTGATTTTCACTGTCTGGAAAATCCAGGCAATAAAACTTCACTTTAGGCCTTCAGCTTTATTTGTTAGCTATCTATACTGATGTTTATTTTCTCATTGGCATCTATCCTTCATGCCATTCAAATCTAGCCTTAAATAAATCGGAAAATGTATGGTATTAATTTTAATTAATGAATAAGAGTTTTTAGGATTTTTCCTTGCTTGCAGCTAAAAGTGCTTTGAAACAACTTATGAAAGTTGACCCTGCTCACAGAATCACAGCTAAGGAACTGCTAGATACCCCATGGATAACAGTAAGTTTATAGCATCACTTCTTTCTTTTTGATATGCTGGTGTTGCTTACTTCCTTTTTTTGTGTGTGGGGTGGGGCTTTGTAGTTTTGTATTATGTTCCTCCTAAAGTAGCCAAGGAGGGATCACTATGAGTTGAAAATGACTCGATGACAGTGAGGTGGTTTTTTTTTTTTAAGTAGTCAGCTAGTTTCGTCACCTAACAGGTTAAAAAATTTGAGTCTTGGCACATTTCTGAAATGGGCATTTTCAAACTGTTATAACTATTACTATTGTTGTTTATGTATGTTTGTGTATTTAAATGATCTTTGCTTTGCTCAGTGTCATGAATTGTTATGTGTGTAGAAGAGCCAAGAAACGTCCATTTTTAAAGCAGTGCCATATTGAAACAGTTTTTATAGTTCACTAATGTAAAGCACCAGAAACATGACCTCTCTTTGGATTTTTTTTTTTTTTTTTTTCAGATTTAACTTTCCTATTTCAACTAGTGACGTAATAAAAAAGGAAAATACTCATTTTGCCTTATCGTTGTCATAATTATTTGATCTACACATTTCATGATCTTATGAAAAGTAACCTTTCTGTGATGTTGACCTTTATAGATGGGAATGACATGGTATTTAGAGTTCATCTGTAAACTTCTTAGTAACATGCTTTAGAGCCACAGGTTGCTTTCTTAGAAGGTAGACCTATCGGGACCCAATTTCTGCTTTGAATTTGACAGTTACTCTGCATAGATTTTCACATACTTCACTGTATCTTATATCCGATACATATCATTTGATTCAAGCTTACATTAACCCAACAGTATCAAGCCAGTCTGGCTTTGTTCTGTATGACAAATTTTTGGAAAGCAATCTGACACCCTCCATGGGAGGGTAATACACATGATTATGAAGCATTTTGCTCTGAGATTTATGTGGCAGGAGTGATGTGTAGGTACTGTGCCTCCTTTTCCCAGGGCTCACTGGCAAAAAAGGACTTAAAAAATGAGTCACATAAATTACGTTATCTGTATACTTTTCAGTTTTTATTAGTAAAACTCAACTCCCTTTCTTCTCTTACTCTCTGAAAGTTTTTCTCTGCTCTGTGGTCTTGTAGTCTTCACCATTGAATTTCTACTTCAGGCAAAATGTAAAACCTATGCTGAGGTTTTCAGAGTTTAGCTGTTGTTAGGTGCTTTCATTCATACTGTACCAATGAAACTGACTTTGTCAACATCAAGTTTTCTGACTGCTTTTTATCCTTACTGCCTTTTACATTTGTATAAGAATGCAGTGGCATCTGCGTTTATATTGGAAGAGATTTTTAAAAAGCACTGTTACTCTTATTAGAGTAATGCAACAACATTAACATACTTTTTTAAAAAAAGAAAAAATAACGCCCCCTAATCTTACCACTGTAACACAGGTCTTTTCACTTCTGCTTACTATCTTCTAAGCCTTGTTCACAGGCACGTATTTTATTTAACATAGTAGTAAGCATGCTATTTATTCAGTTTTGTAATCAGAAAGAAATATTTTTCAGAACAAATTGCCTAAAAATCTCTCTACTTTGAATCTTTTATGACATTTATTGTATTTCTGATGTCACAGACTGAAGAATGTGTTTGGACTTTGTGTTTGAGGAGTTTCAAGGTCATAATGTTTATTATTGGTTAACAGGCTTCATTTCTATTCTTTTATCTGGTGAGATCTCCCATCTTTCATCATGGCTGTGGGGCCTACACTAGGAGCCCGATTGTACAGCATTAGACGAGAGCATGTGAGTGAGAGTGCAGCGGAATTCAGCCCATGCGGACGGTACCCCTCCTTCTGCTTTGGAAACTGTTGTGGGTCTACATGCTCTGGGGGATTTGGGACCAGAACTCTCTAGGACTGCACCATTCTAATACGGCATGACTTCTCTGGATGCAGGGCATTTTTGAGGACTTAAATCAAGGTCTTCAAATAGAGGTTGTTACTTTGTTTGAAATCTTGAGTAATTATCCTTTTGTTTATTGCTTTCCCCTGTTGTTGTTGTTGTTATGTGCCGTCCAGTTGGACCTGATTCACAGTGACCCCTCCTTGGGTTTCTGAGGCAGTATCACTACGGAAGTAGATTGCCCCATCTTCTTTCTGAGGAGTGGCTGGTGGATTTGAACTGCCAGCCTTCTGGTTACCAGTCAAGTGCCTTACGTTCTACTCTACCAGAGCTCCCTGCTTTCCCCTATTAGACTCTAAATGGCTCAAGCGTAGACCCTGTATCTTACTGATCTTTGTATCCTTGCACACAAAATGTTACCTGATCACAGTAGGAACTTTGGAAGAGGTTACTACTTTCCTCCCAATATTCTCTTATCTTCTGTGATTATAAAGATTACGACTTTTAGCTAGAAACATTGCTATCCAGTTAAAAGACTTTGTTCCTCAGCCTTCCTTTCATCTAGTTATCATGATGGTCAATGACACGTAACTGGAAGTATGGGCAATTTCTGGAAAGTGTCCTTAAATGGAGGAGATATGTATTCCTCGTGCCTTTCTTCATTGTTGGTGACTGGGATGCTGATGTGGTAGCTGGAGTTTGAGAAGCATGTTAGACCATGAAGTGGAATCCATACTCTGAGGATCACAGAGCATCACGATGCAAGGGACCAGGACTTTCAGTTCACAGAATAGCTGGGCCAGCCCTGGACTGCTCACCTCTAGACTTTTTAATGTCATGTTTAAGACATTGCAAAATATACAGCTGAACCTGATCCCAATTAATACAATACTTATTAAATAATTACTAAGTGAATGAATGATTCAGTATATTAATAGGTCTGTACATATCTCAGAAAATGTCTGAGAACTCAGACTGGAGTTTTTTAGAGACACATGGGAATATTGCTAAGCAGTATTCATCTATGAAAAAAATGATTGAACATTTGTTAATTACTTATGTTAGTGGCTGGAGACACATGATATGATTTCATCCTAAATGTAAATTAGCATATGATTATATTCTTAAAAGATCACTGACTGTTGGGGTGGGGAAGGGCTTGGAAATAGAGAATTACACAACTATTTCAGTAGTATTGTTGAGAGATGATGATGGCTTGCATAGTATGGTACAAATAGAAATAAAGAGAAATGAATAAATATGAGATATATTTTAGAGGTATTATTGATAGAACCTGGTGATTAATTAGGTGGGGGATGGGGACAACAGAAGAATTAAAGATGACTTCTAGATTTTGCCTTAACAGCTGCTTAGATGGTGGTGCCACTTGCTGAGATGTGAAAGACTGAGAAAAATAGAAGTTTTTCTTTTTTTCTGAAAAGGGGTGAGAATCAAGTTTGAGATTAGTATGCTATGTTTGAGATATCTGTTCGACATCCAAGGAGCTCTGGTAGCATAGTGCCTAAGGCACTTGACTGCTAACCAGAAAGCTGGCGGTTCAAACCCACCAGCCACTCCTCAGAAGGAAGGTTGGGCAATCTACTTCTGTAGTGATACTGCCTCGGAAACCCAAGGAGGGGGCACTATGAGTCAGGTCTGACTCAACAGCACATAACAACAACAACAACATTCGACATCCAAGTGGGGGTATTAAATAGATAATTGAATACACGAGTCTGAAACTGAAAGAGAAATCTGAGCTGGAAATATATAAATTTGGTAATCAGTAGTATATAGATGCCATGTAAAGCTAATGGGCTAGCTAGCAAGAAAGTACAGATGGAGAGAAGAGGCCCTAGGACCATGTCTTTAGGCACTGTAACATTTAGAGGAGGAGGAGCTAGCAATGGAGGCTGAGAGATAGTAATTAATGATGAAGTAGGAAAATTAGGAGTAGTGCCAGGGAGGTTAAGTGAGAATAATGTTTGATAACGTGAGAGCAGTCAGCTCCCAGGTACATGCTGCTGAGAGACCAAGATGGGAAATGAGAGGTTTCCATTACACTGGCCAGCAGAAAAGTTGATAGTGACTTTTGAAGGCTCAGATAAGTTAGATACCATGAATTTATAATGACATGACTCTTCGTTTAAATTCTCCAACTTTGCTTTGGCATTTTCTAACTATTACTTTGAATAACTTTTTTTTCTTCTTTAAGGGCAAAAAATAGTCTTCTCTCAAGAATGGTCATATTTACCCTCTTTGAATGTGTTGATGTCTCAAAGGATTCTGTGCAATAAGTATTTCTGGCCTGAAGTAATTGTGCAAATGAACTATCAGCTAGATCATTGAAAACTAGACTGAGTGTATTTGTAGTACACCAAAATAAAAACTGTGAAACAGATGGTTTGCCTTAGACATTTATCTCTTTTCAGCATCACACATCTGGATTTGGCCATTTAATTATTTAATTGTTGGTGGTGCAGTGTTTAAAGTATTTGGCTGTTAACCAAAATGTCAGCAGTTCGAACCCACCAGTTGCTCTGCAGGAGAAAGATGAGGCAGTCTGCTTCCATGAAGATTTATGGCCTTGGAAACCGTGAGGGGCAGTTCTACTCTATCCTGTAGGGTCACTATGAGTTGGAATCAACTCAATGGCAGTTTGTTTGGTTTTGGGTTGGGAATTAGCGCAACTTTATTTCTGGCTTTGGCCATTTATCCAGAAGTCTCCAGAGGCTCACTCTGTTACATTTGCCTCTATGAAGTCTTTGCCAAATAGATAGAAAAGTGACAGTGTTTACTGTTTTGAATCTAAAGAGTTCAATGTGTGAAGTTTAGAATGATACTGGCATTTTACAAACTTCTAAGAGGCAAAAAAAAAAAAAAAACCCTCTTTTCTTCTTAACTACTTGAAGTCTTGTAATTCACAGCCTGTGTCTGAAATAATCTAAAGAAAACATGATAGTTCTTTCAGTACCTTGCTGCTTTATAACCAAAGTTTATCTGTTGCAATACTTAGTAGCATTCTTCCCCCCCCCCCAAGAGCTTTATTGGATAAAGTTTCTATCATTTTGAAACATGGGTCATATCTGAAAGATATTCTGAGAAAAAAAATAATTGCTTCTCTGTGTACCTTTAGGTGA